ACTGCATGGCGCCGCTTTTCGAGTTTCGGTGCGTCCCCAGCCCCGCCTGGGCCGCGCACGTGCCGCCGGCCATGATTTTTGCGCCACCCCTCGTGGACGCAATCCTCTTCGCCGCCCCCGAGGGGTCGCGCTCGCGCGCCGAAGGCCTCGTGCGCCACGACGGCCGCGGCGGCGGCGGGAGCGCACGGCGGCGTCGGGGGCGTTGGGGGCGGCGGGCGCTGGCGGCGCGGCGACGACGCCGGCAGCGGTCCCGAGGCCGCAGGCGAGGGAGGAATTGCGGGATTGACGCAATCGCGGCGTCGAACTGGATCGGTACAGGATTGTCTCCTCTCTCTCTCGCCTCCTCCCCCGTTCTCCCTTCTCTCTCCACCTCCCTCTCACCTTCTCGCGCATCCTCTCTTTCGCCTCCGGTTTCCTATCCCTGTCCTTTCTCCTCTCGTGTACCTTTCCTGCCCCTCCCTCTCTCCCCCCCCGAGCTGACATTCACGGCGCGGGGGCTCCGAGTCCTTCGCCCACCGCCCTTGCATCCAGGCCTCTCTTCTGGAGTCGAAGTAGATCGGGTCGGAGGGTCGCGCCGCATCGGCGATGCATCGGCGGTGCGGCGGGACCCTCCGACCCCACACGCTCGGAGCCCACGAAGGGCGGCCCCTAGTGGTGCGTCCCCAGTCGCGGCGCGCGCCGTCTTCATCACCAGAAGACGTGTGTCTGGTCCTGGCCCCGACGGGAGGGGGCCTTGAGTCGGGCCGAACGAAAGGGGGGGTTAGGGAAAGGGGGGGTCATGAAATCTGCTGCATGCAGCTGGTTTCGGCCCCGCCGCCGGGCCCATTCCTCGATACATGGGCGCCTCCCGGCGCCGGGAGGCGCCGGGAGAATGAGCTACGTGAGCTGATTCTCAAACCTCCCCTTTGCTCTCCCCCCCTTTCGCCCGGCCCGATTGAGGTGTCTCAATGCCTCCTCGGCCCCAGAGGGGAGTCCTTTGCACAGGCCCAGGGCCGTCCTCGCGCCGGTCTGCCCGCAGCAGCGCGTCGGCCTCCGCAGCCCCCACCTCTTAAGCAGTGGCGGAGCGTCCTGGCGCGCCCGCAGGCCCACCAAAGAATGTTCTAAGAACCCTTTGTGGTCTGCACGACATGTCCTTGGTGCACTCCTGGCTGAGACTGTCGTGTTTCAAACATCGAGCTGACGTTCTAAGGGCATGGCTTGTGTTGTTCGAACCTTTTCTGGGGTTCTGAGAACATGTCGTGGCCTGGGAATGCCGGGACGGTCGGTCCTTGCTGAGCCCTCTCGCGCCAGGCGGCCGTGCCCAAGCCGGCGGTCGCCAAGACGCCGCCCGCGGCGGCGCCGGCCGCGGCCGCGAAGCCACCCGCGGCGGAGGACCGCGCGTCGGGTGCACACGGCAACCTCGGGGGCAGCGCCTGAGGGGGGGGGACTGGCTCGGGGGCGGGGGGAGGCTCGTGAGCGGCGCGCGCAGCCGCCCTGAGATCTTGAAGTCGCAGCGTTTTCCACAGCGGGCGGGTTTACCCCATTTCGGGAGCCTGGGCTCAGGGATCGAGCTGGCTCGAAAGATGGAGCAGGAGGTCCAGGGCTCCAGTCGAGCTTTCTGCGATGTTGCCGCTTCTTCGCGACGTCGGATATCAGGGCGTGCCCGCGTCCTCGTGGTCTGGATTCCTGGGCGCGACCCCGTAGGCGGTCGCATGGGTGCATCTCGGCGCGGGGAGCTCCCCGAAAGAGCGCCCTGCGTCCACGGGGTCGAGGCCCAGGGGCCTGGCCCGCGTGGCGGTGGATACGGATATACGTTCTCCGCACACGGGGGAGCGTCGACCCCGAACCGCCCACTCGTCGCCGACTAGGTCTCTGACTAGCCCTCCCCGTCCCCAGTAGCGCGCGGTTCGCTGTCGGAGGCCTGCTGCCGATGCATCGCCGATTCAAGCTCGATGCTTCAGCCCCCCCGAGCCGGTCCCCCCCACTACGGTTCCGTTTTCGCAGCCCTCCCTCAAGCTTCGGGGGTCGAGGGTCGGGTTCTCAAGGACTGTCTGTTGAGGCCTGCAGGGCCCAAGCCACCGGCTCCCTGCTGTGGGCCGGCTTCCTTCGTGCTGGAGGCTGTTCTCGCGGTGCAACACGAGTGACCCGGGTATGGAAAAGATGGGTACAATGCCCAACAGCAGTCCCTGCTCGCTGTCCGCGCCGCCGCGGCCCGTGCCCATTTTCAAACAGAAGGCCGCCTGCCCGACAGCGGCCGCTGTTGGCTTGGGACAGCACTTGTCAGGAGGGAAAAATCACACAGACACAATCAATTGTCGATTCACCAGAAAATATAGGAGAATATGGGAAGTGGGGGGGAAGACAAAGACCCAGAAAATATGCGAAAATATAGAGAAGCCTGTTATTTGTGTGTGTATTTATTTGTGTGTCCCAGGGGCCCATCTCTTCCGTACCCATTCCGGGCGTCCGAGCACTCGCGGTCCCCAGGGGGCCGCAGCGGCCCCCGCGCACCGGGAGTGCGGAGCCCGCGTCCGCACTGGCCCGTCCGCGACGTCGGAGCCCGGCCGCGTGCACGGCCTGCAGAGGCCGCGGCGCTCCGCGGGGCCCAGCGGCGGCGTGCGTGCCTCCGTGCCTTCTGCTCCGCGGGTCCTCTCGGGCTGCCCCGCTGCCCCGCGGTGCACGGCGCGCTCCCCTCGCCACGGGGGGGCCCCGAGGCAGGGCCGCCAGCGTCCGCCCCTCCCAGGCGGGCCTCGCCGTGGCCTCGGGGTCGCGCGGAGGTGGAGAGGACCTCCTGCCCTTCGCACGTCGAGTAGCGAGCTGGCCGGTCTCGGTGCGCGGGAGAGGGCGTCGCGGCCGCCATCTCTGCTGCGGGTCCGGGGTCCGTCGGGTTCGGTCCTAGAGGCCGTTTTCATGAAAGGGTGGCTTACTAGAGTCGCAGGCCTCGACGTTGACGCAAGCACCAATATCGACGGTGGGCCTCCACCGAGGGAAGAAGATCCCGATCTCAGTGATGGTGGTGATTTTCTGGCTACCAGGGTGGCCGAAATAGCACCACCAACACCGAAATCTAGGATCATCACCCCCCTGTGGAGGCCCCCCCCTGTGTTGGCGTTGGTGCCCATTTTCCAGACCTGCAACAGAGGGAGGTTTGTCCACCGGCGACGGGAGGCCGGTCAGACGGCTCGAGGGGGACGGATCGGACGTGTCCGCGCGTGAGCGCGCCGACCCTCCTCGCCCACTCAAAGCATCGTGTGGGCGTGCGCGTACGGTTCCCCGGCGAGGCCAGCGCCACAGAGTCGGCCCGGACGAGTAGGTCTAGCCTGCCAGCTCGAGGCTACCCTCGTGTCAATTTGTCTCGCGACCCGTGCCTCCTGCATTCCTGTGGCTATGTGACCCTGGGAAGGGTCTTTTGTCCTCTCGCGTGGCCTGTCCAATGGAGTCCGACTGCAGAATGTGCGGACCTTCGAGCAGCATCGTGGGAGCAGCCCGCGGAGGCGTTACCAAACAGCAGCAGCAAAGGAACATCGGCAGGCAGACGTGCCGCGGGGAGCGGTCCGGCGTGCGCTCTGGAGCCTGCGCGCGCGCGTGCTTGGTCGACCGTCGGCTGAGGAGGCCGCACGGGACAGCCACGGCCCCGCTGTCTTCCAGGCGCTGCTGCCGTCGGCGGCGAGCCCAGGGGGGAGGTGAGAAGGGGCGGCAAAGAGGGGGGGGAAGACTAGGGGGGGGATATCATGGCGGGGGCAATGATATTTCCTCAGATTTCATGGCGCCTCTTCTTCTTCCATTACGTCCCGGCCCCCCCCCCCCTGGGCCGCGCACATGCCGCCAGCCATGATTTGCGCCCCCCCTCTTTGACGCCCCACTCTTGGCCGCCCCCGAAAGTGAGAAGGGGCGGGCCTGCTCAGAAGGCTCGGAGGTCCCCGGGCACCGAAGAAACTTCGCGGCGGGCGCGAGGGCTTCCGAAGAAGCTCTGCCGCCTTCCGAGAAGGCCTTCGCCTTCTCATTTCCCCCCCTCGCGCGCCGCCAATACTGATCCCTAGTCATCGCTGGCCGCCGCCCAGAGAGATACAGCAACAAAGGAACGCTCGTCGATGGCACGACCGAGCGGTGACCGGCCCCCTTCGGGCGCTCCGCGGGCGTGGCTCGGCGCCCCCCCGCCCCGCTCCCCCGCGCGCCGGGGCGCTCGAGCCACCCCCCCGGGGACTCCGGGGGGGCGGCGCGGCCGTTGGCCCGCGCCCGCGGTGCGCCCCCGTCTCGGCATCGTCCGCCGTGGGGGAAGCGGGCTCTCAGGAGAACTCGAGCAGTGGCGAAGCGCCCTGGCTCGCCTGTAGGCCCACCAGCCAATGTTCTAAGAACCTGTTGTGGTTTCCACGAAGTGTTCTTAGAACATTTTTGGCTGGGACTGTCTTGTTTTACCACATCGGGTTTATGTTCTAAGAACATTGTTTTTGTTCTTAGGACGTTTTGGGGTTCTGAGAATATTTCGTGGTGGGCCTATAGGAATGCTGGGACAGTAGGCCCCTGCTCAAAAAACGGGTTATGAGGTTTTTCGCCATTCTCGGGCTCTCGGGGCCTTCCACGGGCCCCAGGAGCGTCAGGAAGCGACTCGGGAGGAAGATCTTGTCCTGGGGGAAGGCCCCTGGGGTCCAGGACCCGTTTCCTTCAGAACCCGTTTCCCCCATGCTGGCATGTCATTTTCGTTTGACCGATGCCCATCCCCATCCTCATCCCGATCCCCACCGTCCCGCCACCCCAGGTGGGGGTACACCCCTCGAAACTCGAAGGGAGCAGCTTACAATCCCCATCTAGGAGATAAATCAGCCAGTGGGGCCCAGGCCACGCCAGTGGGGATAGGGCTCGGTTAAACGATGCTCACCACTCAAGGCGCGCGCACCCTTGGTCACCAGAAGATGTTCTAGGCCTCCCAGATGGGGTCGGAGGATTCCGCCGCATCGCCAAGGCGTCGGCGATGCGGTTCGATGTGGAGCCCGGTTTCCTCTGCGCCGACGGCGCCGATGCTTCATCGACGTCGCCGATGCATCGGCGATGCGGCGCGACCCTCCGACCCCGCATACTCGGAGCCCACCTATAGCGGCCCCTAGTGGTGCGTCCCCAGTCGTGGCGCGCGAACTCTTGGTCACCAGAAGATGAATGTCTGGTCCTGGTCCCGACAGGAGGGTGCCTTGAGTTGTCCATGCCGTTTTCTGCCCTTGGAGGGTGGGCTTTCTCGCAGGCCTGGGGCCATAAAAGGCGGCTCGAGACGAACCTCGGATGCCTACCAGGGCCTCCAATGGTTGTTTCAGAGCCCGCCAGGGGCCAGTGAGGAGGGTTCCCGTGCACTGGAGATGGCGTGCAGGGACAGCGCGGCAGCTGCGGCGTGGAAAGCCTGGCAGCGGCGTACACGCGCAGGTTTCCGTGGACGTTCCTTACGGGATGATGGCGCACATCTCGTCGACTTCGGCGAGAGAGACAACCTCCGATGGCGCAATAATCACCTCGACCCTTGTGAGACCCCCGCGGGGAGTGGTGCAAACCCTCGCAGCTGATCTCTCGCCCCCAGTCCCCGAGCTTCCTCGAAAATCCAGGCCGCTCAGAGAAGGAGGGGAACTCGGGGATGCACTCACGCACTCCCGGGAGGGAAAATTCAGAAGCACCGCTATCGAGGATGGGCTCCCCCCCTCGTACATCTCCGAGTTGGTGCCCGAATTTCTGGCCCAGCCGAAAAAATGACAAAGGCTGGTCGCCAGACCCCGTCTATACAACTGGCACGAGGGTTCAGAACAAGCCTAGCCTTAAAGGGGTACCCTGATGCTCTCCGTGCTTGGCTCTCCACCTGGCAGCGCCCTTCAGTTGGGATATCTCGATGGGGTCTTGGGCGAAGGGGCTCGTGTTTTTGACCCACGTTTTTGTTGCCATGTTCCGACTGTACAGTGGGAGCCCATGCCAAGGAACGGCGCATGTTTTGCCAGGGTACACGGGGTTTCTCCGGTTTGTATCCTAGCTGAAGGCTTGCACCAGTCGCGAAGAAATTGCAGTTGGCGACTTGATGCTGAGATGCATTGCGCGAGCCAGCTATACAGCCTGGCCCAGGGTGCCCCAAACTCCTTCGTTGTCAGCTGCGGAGCAGGAGACACAATGGCGGCCCAAGAAGCTCAGGCGATTTTCGGGGTTGGGCCCCTTGCGATGGGTTTCTTTCTCGTGGCCTGGTCTTGACTGTACTCAGCCACCCGCAGAGGAGGGTATGGGGGTATGGGGATGGGGGCACGCTTCTTGGAAGCACCCCCGCTTCTCAGAAGGCGCGGGCCTTATCTGCAGTAGATGGAACGGCCAGTGCCTTCTAAGAAGCTGCCTTCTTCTAAGAAGCCTTCCCCCCTCCCCCTACCCCTGGCTCTTCCTCCTGATCAGAGGAAGGAGTGCCAGGTGTGGGAGTGTGAGGACCAAGCGGAGCGTGTCGTGTGTATCCCGACTATCGGTCCTCCCTCAGATGACGTTAGCCCGCAGCAGTGACTTCCGTGTGCACGCTGGTCCCTTCCCTCGCGGCGCTCGTCGAGATCCGAGGGGGCGGCCCATCTCCATGATGTCGCCTCGCGATCTGTCTCGCTCACTCCCCCTTCCCCCCTGCCCCCTTGTGCGCGCTGCCCACGTACCCTTCAGTCGGGCCTGTCCCTCTACAGGAGGGATACCCAAACGCAGTCCATGGTTTTGTTTTTGCTGCTGTTTGCTGGATCATCTTGGCACATGTTTTTTTAACTGTGTGTTATTTGCCGTCCACCATCCGCCTGCAAGGGGACACGCCCGACCTAAACGTACCCCTCCCGTCCGCCGGGGAGGCCGCCGCAGCGGCGCCGGCGAGGGGCTCCGCCCCTGCGCCGCCGCCCGCCGCGCGGCCGCCCGCCGCGAAGCCGCCCGCCGCGGCGAAGGCGCCGGCGGCGGGGGCCCCGGCGGCGTCGGAGGCGGGCGGGCGGGGGATCACGCCACCTCTCCTCCTCCTCCTCCTCCTCCTCCTCCTCCTCCTCCTCCTCCTCCTCCTCCTCTTCCTCCTCCTCTCCTCCTCCTCGGCCTCCTCCTCCTCCTCCTCCTCCTCCTCCCTCTCCTCCTCCTCCTCCTCCTCCTCCTCCTCTCCTCCTCCTCCTCCTCCTCCTCCTCCTCCTCCTCCTCGGTCCTCCTCCTCCTCCTCCTCCTCCTCTTCCCCTCCTCCTCCTCCTCCTCCCTCGACAAAGCCCTGCGCGACGATGGGTCTCGCCGCACACCTTTGAGCTGGATGGGTGGCGCTTCCCCTTTGATGCGGGGCCATTAGCACTTGCGCCACCACCCGCTCACGTTCACCCCACGGGTGAACACACGGAAAAGGGAAAAGCCAAACGAGTCAGGCGATGTGGAGCGAGTCAATCTCGCCCGCACGAATCTGATCGCCAGTCTTGAAAGGCTGGCGGAGCAGGTGCCAAGTCTTGTTGAGACCGTAACGTGCAGGCGCGCGCGCGCGAGGTTCGCCAACACGCGCGCGCCGTGGGAGGAAACCACGGGAGGTCCATTGCATTGTTCGGAAAGCTTAGCAGAGACTTTGCGACCTCCGAGCCCACACACAGCACACACAACACACCAGGTGCCCTCTTGGAGCTGGAAGGGATGCACGAGGTGCCTGCGCCCATCTGCCGCGACGACACGCGCGTGCGCAGCATCAGCACGCAGGAGGGGACGAGGGGTGATAACAGGCGGGGGCGGTTCAACCGCAAGCCTGGGCTAACAGGAAGACTGACAAGGTCGCTTCTGTTCAGGCTTAACATGCTCACAGTCGAAATCGGCAAAGCACGCCCCTACTTGAGCAACCCATTTCGCGTAGTGAGCCAACACCTTTGCTCTGGCAGCGACCTGCTCACGCAAACTCTGATCAATCTGAACACGGGAGGCAGACCACTGGGCCCAAGAGTCGGCTTCATCATTACCTGCCTTTTTCAAACGCACTGCTGAGACCGAGCTGCACACGTGCCTGCGTACAGTGTCCCTTCACTTTGACGAGACAGATCTGAGACAGACCGCCCCAATCGTGGATCTTGGTCCACACTGCGCGCCACAGCTCGGACCAAGCACCGCGGGAGCTACAACACGCTCGCTCTCCACGCTTGTGCACACCGTCATGCACGAAGGCGGAGTCTGTGTACATTATGGTACCTGGGGACGCGTGCTGCAGCCCTCGATACAACGCAAAGAGCTCAGCATAATCGATGTCCTGACATAACTCATGCAACGTGCCACACACCACAGAGAGCACGCGATGTGTGTCGGGACACAAGGCGACAGCAGCCCACCCCACCGCCTGCGCGTGGGGGGGGAGCTTCTGGTCGATCCACGACCCGTCGAGGAACACGTGTCCTGAGAGGGCCTCTGGCCTTCCTGCGAACCACCTATCTGGGACAGGACGGGTGGCAGGGAGGGGAGCAAGCGGCAGCAGCAGCCTCTCAGCGAAGAGAAGGGGGAGAGGGTGAGCGGCAGCTCGCACGAGGGAAGTGAGAAAGGAGGGAATGCGAACTCCTTCCGTGATCTCCTCATGCAAGCCACATGCTGCATGCCTGTGCAGCAGGGTTCCTGGAGCTGCTCCGCAGCCTAAACAAAGGGCATTGGTCGAGAGCCCAGCCTCCCATTGACGATGCTGCGGCCGCTGACCTCCAGAAATCACACTCTCGAGATACCCGCGCTCAACAGGCAAGAGGGGGCGAAGGCTTCTGAGCGGAGTGAGGTCGCACCCATTTTGCAATTCAGGCACATCCAAACTATTGGCGACCTTACCCCAGAGCCAAAAATCTACCACCCTCTGAAGCCAGATCACAAAGGTCCTGGGGCCGACGTCCCTGACCGAGATACGCCCCAAGACCGAGTGAGTGAAAACAAACCCGTCGTCCTGGAGCCCTAGACGAATGGCAGTGGCCGCGCAGGCCGTGAAAGGACCCTTGATGCCGGCCCAGGGATTCCCATGGTCGGAGAAGCGATGGACAGCATCTTTTATTCCTTGCTCAAGCAAGCGCACAGGAAGCAAGCCATCCCAGACGGCCACCGCAAACATCTGCAGAGGCTCAATATTTAATTTGCATGCAGGGTCGCACCGGGGTGCTTCAGACATCATAAGAAGCAACGTGGGACTGCGACCCGACAGCTTGGCGACCTGCACGCGTGCTTGCATAGCTCTGGCGAGACGCAGCTCTGTGCAATTCGTGCCGTACACAGCGCCCCCATACTTACAGGAGGCTAGGGGGGCAGCTTGCACCATGTTGTGCAGCCTGCGTTTTTTTTACATGCGGCCCGAGCGAGACGATCTTGCGGGCCCGAGCGTGAGCTGGCGCCCTGCGAGCGGCACGCGCGGCGCGAAAACGGCAGACTGCAGCGGCAAAATCGATGCCTAAGTTGCGCTCTGTCTGAGCGCCCTGAACATTAAACCTGCGCAGCCTTCGGGCAAGCTGAGCCCTGATGTGAGCCGACGACGCAACGACACGACTCTTACGACGGTGCACGACCAGGTGAACCTCCTTGAGCTCAGCATGCAACATGGCGGTGGCCCCTGCTAGGTCCTCCACCACGCCCTGCGCACGTCCTACCCTATGGGCTCCAAAATCGTCCACCACGACCCCCAAACTGACGTGCTGATAGGCCGCCACAACCTTATCAGCTGGGCCGAGTAGGATGAGTTGCAACATCAGAGTGGCGAAGTGGCAGCCAGGCAAAACAGCCTGGTGAGCCTCTAGAGGCCGAGAAACCACGTCCCCCAGCGACAAGATCCGCGGGGCCCTGTGCAGCTCGACTAGGAGCTTCAGCTGGCGGAGCGGAAACCCTGACCTGCTCGCAGCAAGCACAAGCTTGCCATGACGAATGCATTCGAAAGCCTTCTGCAAGTCTAGCAGAAGGAGCCCACTAGAGAAACCCCGCGAGGCCGCCCACTCTGAGCTGGCGGCCTGAACCCAGACGAGCTTGTCGCTGCTGCGTCCAGACGTAGACCCAAAAAAATGGGCGATGATTGCGTGCTTGCCATTGTTTGATGATCGGGCGCCGCAGGCGCCCCTGAATATGGGCAAGAATGCCAATGAGCGCAATGGGCCGACAACCACCATCGCGTTTGCTGAGAAAAACCACTTTGGTCCAGAGACGCGGCCAGGAGCAGAAGGCTTTGACCTCCCCTAGAAGATCGACCAAGGCCACCAAGGCCCCGTCGGAGAGGTGCAAAAGCTGCCGAGGGGAAATCGCATCGAAACCGCATCCTGACTTCTTGGGGAATGTGCGAACGCACGCTTTAAACTCATCGAGGCTAGGGGGCGGGAGCACGGGGCCAAGGTCCGCAGGCCAGGTGATGGAATCCGACAGAACCCCAACCTTCCACCACCCAGCCCACTCAGCCTCAAGCAGTTCCATCTCCTCGGCCATAGTAGCGGGACGCGAGGCCCCCTGCGCTTGCACTAGGGAGCTGGGGGCCCAAGGCTGGGCAGGCTTGGTGCATGCAAATAGAGCGGCTCCACCGTCGCAGCTGCGAGTGGAGCACCATTCTCTCCAACCTCGGAGCTTGTCAGTTTCAGCTTGCTTCAAAGCCTTGCTAGCTTGGAGGGCAGCAGCCTTCGAAGCCAGCTCAGCCAGCTCATAAGGAAGTTCGCGCGCCAGAGACAACAACGTGAGCCAGGGCTCGGCCTCTGACTGAGGAACTTTGCTGACCTGGGACATGGGCCCGAGGCGCCTCGCAAGGCGCAGAGAGCAAGCACGTGAGGGGACAGGCTGAGCGGACCCCAATCCAGAGAGGCACCTGGCCAGGAGACGCCACCGCGTGGCAACAGGCGAGATCCTAGGAAAACGCACAGGCAGCGGCTTCGGCGGCGCCTTCACAAAAAACTGGGGGCCCTCAGCGCGGCCGAAGTACTCGGGGTCGACATGTGGCAGCAGGTCGCGGGCGTCCGCGAGGTCGGCCTCGGCGGTCTGGACCCACAGCTGCCAGCGCATGTCTACGTCCAGAACAGCACGCTCAACGGTGTCTCGATAGCGCTCCCAACGTGGTGTAGGACCGGCGCGAACACAGCCCACGGGCAAGTCGAGAGGAAACCGACGTGGTACACGGACCGCTGCATGACAGAGACCACACCTTGCTTGCACAGGAATGGTAATCCGCACAGGATAACGCGGCGCAGTAGCAGCATCGGTTAAGACCTCAAGGCAACACCCATGAGCAATGGAGTCGACCACCACGAAGAAATCGATCACCCTGGCCTTGGAATCTGAAGAATTCGTACACGTAGGCACCGCTGGAGCCAGGATGGTGGCGTCGAGTGCGGCAGGCCATCCTGAAGCTTCCAACTCGTGCGGGTCCAAGTTGAAATCACCAGACACGATAAATGGCAGCCCTGACAATTTGACTGCATCACCAATCTGGGTCAGAATATGCCAGTTCTTACCTGATAATCCTTCGCTGCAGTGCAGATACACGGCCACCCACAGGAAGCCAATGTCTGTGATTCCTGCAACGTGCTTGATCGAAACTCTGCCAGGAATGAGAGAACTGGGAATATGCTCGATGTCGGCGAGGCCAACAAACTTAGGAACCATATGCGCAAGACCACCGCTGGAACCGCCACGCTGGGTACCCTCGGCAGCTGCTACACTAGCGCGCCATCTGCGCTTCGACAACTTGCTTTCCAATTCACTGACTTGATACGGTAGAAGGTGATGTTCCTGCACCACCACGCCGCTGCTGCTGAGGACCTTGGGATGCTGGAGCAGCGCCTCCAAACCCGTGATCCCCGATACATTGCTGGTGACCAGAGTCCAGGCGGCCAAGCTAGGAAGAAGACCCACCTGCAGACTCGTCGGTGGCCGACTTGAACTTCTTGGTGGCGGCCTCCTGCATCTGGTCGAAAATGTCACGAATGCATTCATGCTTGACACCATGCTTCTCCCGCAATCCTTGGATGTATCCGTCATCAGTCTGCGCCTCTGCAAGACATGCGAGGAGCTCGGCGTGCGCAGCCTCGGCTCGCTGCCTGGCAGCGGCGGCGGCGGCAGCGCGCGCGGCCTCGAGCTCCTGCTCCTGCTTGGCAGCTGCAGCTGCAGCTGCGGCCTGGGCGGCTTCCGCGCGCCGCTTGGCCGCAGCCTCGCCATCGGGAGCCCCGTCGGCGCCAGCGTCTCCACCGCCGACGCCGTCCACAGCCATGGACTCGTCGGCGGGAGGGGCAGCAGCAACAGCAGCATCGCGCAGAGGCTGCACCAAAGCTGCCAGGCCCTGAGCGATTTGGGCCATGCGCGAGTCCTGGGCAAGCGTGTCAACGAACTGTTGCAGCTGCTGAACAGGGTCCTCCTTCGCAGCCATGGCTGAGTAGGCCTTGGCTGCCCGCGCCGCTGCCTCCTTGACCGCCGCATGCGCTTGCGCAAGCTCGGCCTTACACTTGGCAGCCTCCTCCTCCTCCTCCTCCTCCTCCTCCTCCTCCTCCCCCTCCTCCTCCTCCTCCTCTCCTCCTCCTCCTCTCATCCTCCTCCTCCTCCTCTCCTCCTCCTCCTCCTCCTCCTCCTCCTCCTCCTCCTCCTCCTCCTCCCCTCCTCCTCTCCTCCTCCTCCTCCTCCTCCTCCTCCCCCCCCCTCCTCCTCCTCTCCTCCTCCCTCCTCCTCCTCCCCCCCCCTCCTCCTCCCTCATCCCTCCTCCTCCTCCTCCTTTTCCTCCTCCTCCTCCTCTTCCTCCTCCTCCTCCTCGCCCTCCTCCTCCTCCTCCGCCCCCACGGCGCGAAGGGGTTTCTGGGCTTCCCTCCGGGGAGCGGGGGCGGAGGCGGGGCGTCCGAGGCGGGGCGGGGGGTCAGAGGCGGGCGGGGCGTCGGAGGCGGGCCACGGGGGTCAGTGCTGCCTGCCTCCAGAAGTCCAGCAAACACCGCAGACACGCTCATTGTTGCTGTTGATGGCGACACGGTGCCTAAGCCGTTGACGCCCTCGGCCGAAGGCCGAGAAAGTAGTTGGAGGTGTAGAAGTTGCCGGCCAGACGTCGCCTAAAGCCACACCCAGCCGGAGGCAGAAGAAGTTGAGAAAAAAACACAATCAAACATAATCACCAACTCAACCTAACCAGCTCGCTTCCGAGTCCAGCGGGGGAGGAGGTGGGACGAGGCCGGCGCCGTGACCTCTCCGGTAGGGACTCCACCCTCCGTCGGGAGCGGCGGTCTGGCGTCGGGGAAGCGGGAGACAAGTCCCGCGTTCGGCTCTGCAGCGTGCCAGGCGCCGCACCACACACCACCGCACCACCAACCGGGGGAAGGGGCGGGGGGTGATCGTCGTCGGGGTCTTGGTCGTCAAGGTGGCCGTCTGAAGCCTCGCCGTCGGCCCCCGCCGCCGCGTCCACCTGAGCCGGGTCAGGAGAGGGGCGAGGAGGAGGTGGCGCCGGTCGCCGCTTCGACGTCGGAGCGCTGTCCAGGTCGGCAGCCGCTGGCCGTCCAGCCGCCTGCCTGCGCGGGGCCAGAGCAGTCACGACGTCCCCGGTCGGCGCCTCCACCTGAGCAGGTTCAGGAGGAGGAAGAGGGGGAGGAGGAGGAGGAGCGGACCGCCGCTTCGAGGGCGGAGCGCTGCCTGGGCCAGCAGCAGTTGGCCGCGGAGCCGCCGAACCTCCAGGGGCAGGAGCCGAGCCCGAATCCGGGGCAGAGCCTCCAGGATGCGGATTCCGAGCTTGCACGACATGACCTTCAGCCGGGACCGGTCCTGAGTAGTGGGCCCGGCGATCGTGGTGATCCAGCCCGTCTTAGCCGTGACCCTGGGCTGGGCAGCCCACCAGGCCTCATCGACCCCCTATGGGCTCGCCCGAGGGCGAGGCGACAGGGCCGAAAGCGGGGGCATTCGGCCCAGAAGTGCCGGGCGGACGCGGCGGGGTGCTCGCAGAACGGGCAGGGGGCCTCAGCGTGGGCCCGTCAAGTAAGGGTCCGAGCGGCGCCGCCGCGCCAGACCGACAGCAAACTACGTCCTTAGTGAGGCCCTCGCGCCACTGGCTCTAGGGGGCCTTAGAGGACGCCTCGGTGTGAACGTCCGCCATGCCCTCCTCGTCGTGGCGGGGCCTTTAGGGGCGCGCCCGAAGTAGCTGGGCACGGGCGCAGACCCGGAGGACGTGCTGCCCGCTGGGCGACGAGGCGTCGAAGTAGGGCGGGAGGCCAGAGGAGGCCACGGCCCCAGCCACGGCGGCCGCCGCCCGGGGGTTCGAGAGCGGGCCTGGCGCGGACCCAGACGGGCAGTAGCCCGGGCCACTCGAGGTGGGAGACCAGCCCGAAAGTGGCCGCGCGGTGGGCCACGCACGTCCGCCAGAGGGGCGACCGAGGGAAGCGGGCGGCCTGGCGGAGAGCCTGGAGGGAGGTGCCGAAGACGGGGTGGAGCTCGAGGCGCTCGGCCCACCAGCGCCGCTGGTCCCACCAGGTGCAGGTAACTCCCAGTCCACCCAGACTGGGGGTCCGAGCAGAGGGGGTCGGAGGATCGCGCCGCATCGCCGAGGCATCGCCGATGCGGCTCGATGTGGAGCCAGATGTTCTCCACGCCGACGGTGCCAGTGCATCGCCGACGTCGCCGATACATTAGCGATGCAGCGCGATCCTCCGACCCCGTCTACTCGGACCCCATCTGGGAGGCCTTTACTTGTACAGCGGGTGTCAGCGCTTCCTGCCTCCAGAAGTCCAACAATCACCGTAGCCACGCTGACCGCGATGTTGATGACGGCGATGACGTTTTGCGTTGTATGTGGGGGCGGTTCATTGCCAACCCATTTGTAGGAAAGGTTTGTTCGAGTTTTCCTACACTTTGTTCTGCGCGAGTTCGGCGTCTCAAAAACCATATTCTCATCATCGCCGTTAATCAACATCGCCGTTAGCGTGGTCTCGGAATCAGAGGAGGAAAAGGCAACCATACCGCTACCGTTCCGTCGTTTTCCCTTTGTAGGGCCTTTTGGGAGGCCCTCGTCGCCACCGCTGGGTTCGCTTCGAAATCCTGGTCAGCACGCACCCCGGGAGAGACCCGGGGAGTAGCGGTATCGGTACTTTTAGGTGTCCCCAGTCTCCGTGTCGGGGTTCTGGCGGTCTCGTGGGCCGTTTTCGGTGCGAACGCTTGTCGCAGCAAGGGCAGAACGAAGACGGAGCGAAGGACAACGACAACAGAACGACAACGAAAAACTCTGTTTACCTCCAGACCTCAAAGCGAAAACGACAAATTCTTGACGCTTGGCAGAGATCTGAGGGGTAGCAGTATCGGTACTTCCTGTTGGTTTCCCCAGCTACCTGCCCCCAGGAGTCCAGCAATGAGAGGAAAAGGTGAGTACTCATAACTCTACCCTTCGCCCGTTTTCCCCAATTTCGGCCTTCTTGGAGGCCCTCGTCGCCACCGCTGGATTCGTCTGGAAATCCTAGTCAGAACGCCCCAAAACGGCCCCAGAGGGCCCCAAGACGGCCCCAAGAGAGCCTCAGATGGCTTCCAGACGGCACAAGAGAGCCTCAAGACGGCTCCAGGGGCCTTCCAGAGGGCCCCCGAGGGGACCCCCAGGGGCCAAACAAATTGATAGTTCTATGTTTTTGCAGGTTTTGGGGGTTCTTGTTTTTTCTGGCCAAGATCGGCCCAGAACTGCCCAAGAGGTTGCAAAGATCGTCCCAAGACGGCCCAAGAGGCCCCCGAAAGGGCCCAATAAAAGTCCAAGAGGGTCCAAAAACATTCCAAGACAGACCCAGATGGGCCCAAAACGGCAAAAAAAAGACGGCCCAAGAGGGCACCAAGACGGCCCCAAGAGAGCCCCAAGAGGGCCCAAAGAGATTCCCAAGAGGGCCCCACAATCCTTGCCGAAAACCTATGCGCAATCGCGGCGGGGAGGCCATCGCGGTGTCCGTTGGGCTTACTCAGAGCTGGCAATATCTCGGCACCCCCGTCGTCTTGTTCAAAAACCAAACGGACAGTGATCGCGGGGTGACCGCGAATGATTCAGATTTAGCCGCAAAGTGTATGTTATATTGTTTTTTGTTGACATGGATGGAGGTCTTGCGCACAGCAGGCGAGATTAGGACCCCCCTGCCGCCCCTGACCAAAACAATACGGAATGCTCGCGGGGCGCACGAGCATGACCCAAGATTTTGCCCCGAAGTGTATGTTGTATTGTTTGTTGACAGGGATGGGCGGGGGGGGGCAGTGGTCCTGGTTGGCAGTGGTCATGATTAACAGTCATACGGTGGTAAACCCCTACCCGAAAGGGAAGAAGGGGGATGTGGGAGAGGAAAGAAAGAACTCGTGAGGCCACCTGTGCCCAGAGGGCTGGCGGGATTCGACGGACGCCTTTGGGCGTGCCAGAGCTCTCCTGGGGCGTCTTGGGGGGTGCATCCATCGTTTTGGAAGCGTCGGAGGGGGAGATTTGAAGGTCTTGAGGGCCCAGCACGTGCGTTGAGGAGCTCGCACCCCTCCCCACCTCATTGAGATGTTTTACCCTGGGGGATGAAGAACCAGGGGGAGGGGTGCAGACAAATTTCTTATACGCCGTTTCACCCCTAGCAAGCGGGGGTCGGCGGCGGATTCGGCACATGCGGGTTTGGTTGAGGTATGGGCCCGGCCGACGCTAAAACTCTGAAATGTCTTGATTGTGCAGGCGAGCTTCAACTGACTGATCATTGCCACCTCACCGGGGGGGGGCCGAGGAGGAGACGGGGAACGGGAGGAAGAGGAGGCGGGGCAGGAGCGGGGGTGGCGAGAATGGGGCTGGTGCAGGGGAGGGGCAGCGCCAGGAGTGGGAGCAGACGGCGAGGGAGAGGGCGAGGAGCACGCGGAGGAGGGCGGAGCACCTTGGGAGGTGGCCGGGAGACCCCAGGGGCCACGGGAAGACGCCGCCGTCTCGACGCACCGCACGGCCGGCGGGAGGCCGCGGCCGCCGCGAGCAAGCCGGAGGACAAGGCGCTGGCGGCCGCGATCACGGGCCTCGTGGGGGCGCTGGAGGCCGCAGTCTCTCAGGGGAGGAGCAGGTTCCCATGTACCTCTACCCTCTCGCTCGTTTTCCCCTTTGCGGGCCTCCTCGGAGGCCCTCGTCGCCACCGCTGGATTCGCTTCGAAATCCTGACAATTCATTCAAGCGCCGCGCCTTCGACATTCAAGAGTCACGCTCTCGCTGTGGATTTCGCCACTATTGATTTTGGAATCGAGCTGTCGATAAAGATTTCCTCGCGATTCGTGCAGGACGCACGCTTCAGCAACCCGCCTGCTCGACCTGGCCGCCTGGGCCTTTTTACCCGTCTACCCGCCCGATCCGCCCGTCTGGTTCTGCCACGTGCGTTTTGCTCGTAGCTCCCCTCCTGCTGCTCTCTCTCGTGCTCCATCCTCCTCCCCCTTGTCTCTTCCTTCCATCCGTCTTCCTCTTCCCCGTGCCTCAGGGGCTGCACGAAATACACGTTGCAGGTAAGAATGATATACCCCCAAGGGAGTACGGTCGAAGACGAAAACGGCAGGTATCGAGGGTTTGGCGTGTACGTGTTGAGTGGCACGCGAGCGGATACGAGCGAATAGTCTTAACATGAGTGTTGTTGTTGTTGATGTTGGTGTTGGTGAGGATGTGACTGTTGAATTTGTTGTTGTTTGTGGTGGTGTTGGTAGTCCTGTTATTATTGTTGTTGGAATTGTGGTTGTTGGTGCTGATATGGTTGTTGCTGGTGTCGTGATTGTTGTTGGTGTTGCTGTTGGTGTTGCTGGTGTTGTTGATGTTGTTGTTGGTGTTGTTGTTGCTGCTGTTGTTTTTGTTGATGTTGTTGGTTGTGGTGTCGATGCTGGTGTTGTTGGTGGTGTTGGTGTTGTTGGTGCTGATGCTGCTGATGTTGTTGGTGGTGTTGTTGCTGGTGTTGTTGCTGGTGTTGGTGTTGGTAGTGATGGTGTTGGTGTTGGTTTTGTGGTTGGTGTTGTTGGCGCTGTGGTTGGTATTGAAGTTGTGGTTGGTGTTGTTGCTGTCGCTGCTGTTGCTGTTGTTGTTGTTGGTTGTTGGTGTTGTTCCTGTAATTGTTGGTGTAAGTATTGTTGTTGTTGATGGTGGTGTTGTTGGTTGTGTTGTTGGTGCTGTTGTCGTGGTTGTCATTGTTGGCTGTTGTTGTTTGTTGTGTGTTGTCGTCGTTCCCCCGCGACCCACCCGCCCCCCACCCGCCACCCACCCGCAATCCAGCCCCCGACCCATCCGCGACCCACCCCGCGATAGCTGGTCTCCTGTTACAAGCAGGGTGTGCCGAAGAGGTTCAATCGGGTTCGAGGTGGTTTGGGGCCTGGGAATGGTCTGAGGGGCACTTGGATGTTAAAGGGAGGTGGGGGGCCAGGAGGTGGAGGGGGGGGCGAGCACCAGGAGGAGGACAAGGGGGGTGGGAGCGAGCGGATGATTCCGGTTATTTCTGATTAGCCCCTGCCATATTAGGCCGTTTTCCCATGTCACGCAAGTGCGCATCAAGCCCGGGGCTGAGTGTCTCAGGTCAACGTCGTGTCATTCAAGGCCAAGTGTGCACTACCACCCTGGTTCTTTCGCATCGCCCTCTACCTTGTCGAGAAGGAGGATAATAGGGGAGGGCAGGAAGGATGGAGGAGGAGGAGGAGGAACGGGAGGAGGGGGAAGGGAAGGAGGGGAGGAGGAGGAGGAACGGTTGGAAGAGGAAGAGGGCGGACGAGAAGGAATAGGAGGAGGAGGAGGCGGCACTCGAGGACGAGGACAGAGGAAGCGGAGGTTCGCCACGGTCTTCAGGGACGAGTTCTGAGGGCGCCACTGTGGAGTGCATTGCAGTACTCTGTGTCCCTCAATAGTTCTGGGGGTACCTGTAGTCCAGGGGGGATACCTATAGTCCGGGGGGGGGGTACTTGTAGTCCGGGGGAGGGTACCTGTAGTCCGGGGGGGGTACTTGTAGTCGGTGGGGGGGTACCTGTAGTCCGGGGGGGGTACCTGTAGTCCAGGGGGGCGCGCTGGGGTGTACTTGTAGTCTGGGGGGCTTGTAGTTCCGGGGGCTGAGGGGGTACCTGTAGTCCGGGGGGGTACCTGTAGTCTGGGGGGGGGGGGGGGGGTACTTGTAATCCGGGGGGGGTACCTGTAGTTCGGGGGGGGGTACCTGTAGTCCGGGGGGGGTACCTGTAGTCCGGGGTAGGGGTACTTGTAGTCCGGGGGGTACCTGCCCCGGGGCCCAAAATTATTGAGGGACACAGAGTATTTGAGGAGGAGGAGGGAGGAGGAGAGGAGGAGGAGCAGGAGGAGGAGGAGGAGGTGGAGGAGGAGGAGGAGGAGGAGGAAAAGGAGGAGGAGAGGAGGAGGAGGAAGATTGAGGAGGAGGAGTAGGAGGAGGAGGAGGAGGAGGAGGAGGAGGAGAGAGGAGGAGGAGGAGGAGGAGTGAGGAGGGAGTGAGAAGTGAGGAGGAGGAGGAGGAGGAGGAGAGGAGGAGAGGAGGAGTGAGGGAGGAGGAGGAGGAGAGGAGGAGGAGGGAGGAGGAGGAGGAGGAGGAGGAGGAGGAGGGAGGAGGAGGAGGAGGAGGAGGAGGAGGAGTGAGGAGGAGGAGTGAGGAGTGAGGAGTGAGGGAGGAGGAGGAGGAGGAGGAGAGGAGGGAGAGGAGGAGGAGGTGGAGGAGGAGTGAGGAGGAGGAGGAGGAGGAGGAGGAGGGAGGAGGAGGAGGAGGAGGAGGAGGAGGAGGAGGAGTGAGGAGGAGGAGTGAGGTTCAGGAGGGTAGCCGTCCCAGCGTGCAGAGCCAGCCCGTCGAGAGGGCCCCTAAGAGGTTGGGTGGCACCCGGCGCGGGCCGGTTGCCCCGGAGCTCACGGGGCAGGGCAGGGCAGCCCAAACTCGGGGGCCCCCAGGAGGGGTGGTGACCAGACCGTGTGGTGAGTCGGTGGGGATTCGGGGGATTCGAGATTCGAGGTCTTCGGGATTCTCCGTCGGTTCCCGGCGATTTTCCAGCCTCGGGATGCCTTCAGCGGCTGCGCCGCGCCGAGGGCGTTCCGGGGGTGCCCGGATCGTCCCAAACGGCCGCCCGAGACCCGAGTTGGGGCCCGAAAACCAAGGGAGCGGTGACCACACGACCACACCGTGTGGTGAGTCGGTGGGGATTCGGGGTCGCCGCACGGTTTTTTGGGGACTCGAATCCCTGTGCGAGGATGTCTCGTGCGGCAGGGGCCTCAGAGGTCCCAGGACCGTGCGGTGACGGGCCGTGCGGCGAGGTCTTGAGGGATTTCGAGGTCACAGCACGGTCTGTCGCCGCACCGTTTCGGGACTCCAAACGGACACAGTTTTCGCGTGTGGGTCTGGTCGCCCCCGCCACCTCCCTCGACTCCGAGGCGGGAATCTTTTTTTTTTCCTCTCTCTCTGTCTCTATCTGTATATATACACACCACCCTTCGGGTGATAAGGAGGTTCGGGGGGGAGGAACCAACGTCTCACTCGATCGGTCTCACTATCGATCTCACTATCGATCTCACTATCGGTCTCGATCGATCGATCTCACTCGATCGATCTCACAATCGATATCACTCGATATGTTTCATTCGATCGATCTCACAATCGATCTGACTATCGATCTCACGATCGATCTCACGATCGATCTCACTAGCGATCTCACAATCGATCTCACATTCAGTCTCACTATCGATCCCACTATCGATATCACAATCGATCTCACAATCAACGTCAGCATCATCATCATCATCATCATCATCATCATCATCATCATCATCATCATCATCATCATAATCAACGTCATCAACGTCATCAACAACATCAACATCATCATCATCATCATCATCATCATCATCATCATCATCATCGGGACACCATCATCATCATCACCACCTCGTCACCATCAACATCAACATCATCATCACCATCATTATCATCGGGATACCATCGTCGTCACCATCATCATCATCAACATCATCACCATCGGGACACCATCATCATCATCATCAGCATCGGAACACCGCCATCAACTTCTCATCATCATCATCATCATCATCATCATCATCATCATCATCATCATCATGAACATCATCAATAGCATCATCATCGGGACATCAGCATCATCATCATACTCAGCATCAGCATCACCATCATCATCATCATCATCATCACCGGGACACCATCATCATCATCATCGCCATCATCAGCATCGGGACACCATCATCATCGTCAACATCAGCATCATCACCGTCGGGCCACCATCATCAAAATCATCATCACCACCATCATCATCATCCTCATCTTTGACATCATCATCGGGACACCATCAGCGTCATCGTCATCATCAACGTCATCATCATCGGGACACCATCATCAACAGCATCATCATCAACCTCATCATAACCATCATCATCGGGACACCATCATCATCATACGCATCATCAGCATCATCGCGTTATCTCATCATCAACATCACCATGCTCATCAACATCATCATCCTCATTGGGACACCCTCATCAGCAACATCAGCATCATCAACATCATCATCATCATCGGGACAACATCATCATCACCACCATTGCCATCATCATCACCATCATCATCATCATCAACATCGTTAACATCAGCATCATCATCATCATCATCATCATCATCATCATCATCATCATCATCATCGGGACACCATCATCACCACCATGGCCATCATCAGCATCAACATCTCATCATCACCATCATCTCATCATCATCAACAGCATCATGATCATCAGCATCACCATCATCTTCGGGCACCATTATAATGATCATCTCCATCATCATGATCATCAACAACATCCTCAGAATCAACATTATCATCATAACAACATCATCATGATCACCGGGACACGATCATCATCACCACCATCACCATCATCATCATCGTCAGCATAACCAACATCATTATCATTGACATCGGGACACCGACGGGACACCGGCGGGACACCGGCGGGACACCGCGCGGCACCGGACGCCAGAAGGGAGTCATTTGGTCCGGCCGCGCCTCAGCCACAGCGGGACACCGACGGAACACCGCGCGGCACCAGCCCCCGGAAGGGAGTCATTTGGTCCGGCCGCGCCTCCGCCACAGGAGATTTTCCTCTCGCCCGCCCGCGCAGCTTCGCCTCGCCCGCACGCACGGCACGCACGAACACGAAACCGAAATCGATTTCCGGTAGGGGGGCTCTCCGTTCCATGTCGATCTCACCCCCCAACCTCCGATGTACCCACCGCCTGGAGGATGGATCCTCCTGGACCTCGGTGTGTATATATAAACATATTCACACACATATATATATATATATATATATACACACATCATATATATATATATATACAGATATATATAATATCCAGGCCCCCTGGGGCCAACATGTATCCATATCCACCGCCCGCTGGGGTCCCAGGACGTCGGTTCCCCATGCGGAATCCCCGCCTCGCATCAACAGCGTCGACGCCGACGGCGACGACGGTTATGATTGTGACAGCGGCGCACGACGCCAACGACACATCGCCGACGCACACGACGACGAGGAGCGCCCGCGGCAGGCCACGAACACTCCGGCGGCCCTCCAGCAGCCGGCTGCGGGCGAGCGCTTTCGACACACACCATGTTGTTTCTATAGCCTATTCCCCCCCCTTCTCCTCCGCTCTCCTTCCGTTGCGACTTCGGTCGACCTCGTTGGTTCTTTGAATGGTGGTCCTTTCCTGGTGTCCGACGCGTATTCGACAAGGGTCCGACGTGGAGTCGACGCGTATCCCCCTCCTCTTTTTCCTTCCCTGTCTTTTCCAGCCCTTCGAAACACAGAACACATGCACAAGCATAAAGCTGTCGGAGCTCTGCGCGGATTTTCGTGGAACCGACGCTGGACACCCTCGTCTGGCGCCTTCTGTTTGGTCTTCTGGCCCTGGCCACTCCCCAGTCATCCACAGCGCTTCGCGCCGCAGCAGTCCCGACCTGCACGGGGGCGGGGGGAGGAGGAGGAGGAGGAGGAGGAGGAGGAGGAGGAGGAGGAGGAGGAGGAGGAGGAAGAGGAGGAGGACTGTAGTGTAATGCAGATGCCCTTAAGGGTAGGCATAACCCTGTTACTCCTTTTCTGAAGCGTAGCTGCTGGTGTCGGGGGTCGGCCTGGGGAATGCGACGAGCCCCCCAGCGGCTGCAGACCTCCCGCCGCCGCGAGGGCCCCTCCGACAGGCAACCGTCTGCCCTTACCGAGGTGACCACCTCGCGCTACCCCTAGCTTCCCTGATTTTGCCTGGGTGGGAGCGGGCAAAAGGGCGAGCAAATCCAACACCAATGGCTAGAGCCAGAATGGTGCTGGAGGCTGCACTCGGCTTGGAAGGGCGTGCCGGCCCATCCGCTATTATCTGCTCGGGTGTGGACCTATTCTAAAACATTGTAGAATAGGTCAGGAGAAAAAAGTTCGGGGTCCGTCGAGACGCCTGTTCTCCTAAGCAGTGGCGGTCGTAACGCAACCAACCTCGAACGGATCTTGCTAAGAAAGTTCGTGGCCCACCCCGCATCGGGGCCGTTGGAATTCCTAGAGGACACCTGTTCTCCTAAACAGTGGCGGACGTAACAAAATTGTCACGAAATTCGGCCGCTCTGCTCAGGCCACCCCGCATCGGGGCCACTGGAATTCCTAGGGACGTGAGGGAGACAGAGATGTTAACAAAGTTGCCCCCCCTCCTTCTAGCGGGGGGCTCAGGCCATGCCCTGGCCAGCTCAGACGCCCTGCCCGCCCCGCCAGTCGAGTGCCCCGCCAAATTGTTACATCCACACCGCTGCGCTCTGATCCCTCTGTGTTGGAACACTGGAGGCCCAGGATTCGCCCCTACAGTCGAGGCGCAAACGTTGAGTGGGCAGCCCAGGATAACAAGACACCGAGCGATTGCGAGAAAGTGACGGGCAGGATAGACGCAGCAAACAACGAGCCCGATTCATTGAACATCGTCGGCGTCGGGGGGGCGTAGCAGAGTTGGGGGCACCTCCCGCGCCATCGGAGGGAGGGGGCCCGGGAGAGGGGGGCAGGGAACGAGTGGAGCATGTAAGGGGGACGGCCACAGAAAGAAGCGGGGGAGAGAGGAGAAGGCACAGAAGTCACAGTTGGCGACTGACGGTCGCAGCGGTGGGAGAACGGGTCACGGGGCGGCGCGCCGCTCTGGGGGCGGCGGGCTGCCGGGGCCGCAGCCAAGGTGCACAATCAAGCGTGAGGACAGACGATCGTGACAGGGTCTTTTCTGGCCCCTTGCTGGTGACGTCGCTGCGGCAGCAAACGAGAACAAAACTAAGCCCATAGCTGTGGTCGTACCATTGCAAATTTGATGGATGTTTGCACAAAGGCTGGGCGGGGGAAGATAGGGGGAGGGATCAGAGCTACGGTTCAAGCAAATCCGATATCGGCATATATTCTGCCAGGCAAAAGGCTGGACCTCTTCTTGGAATTGGGGAGGAGGAGGAGGAAGAGGAGGAGGAGGAGGAGGGGGAGTAGGGAGGAGAAGAAGAGGGAGAAGGAGAGGAGGAGGAGGAGGAGGAGGAGGAGGAGGAGGAGAGGGAAGAGGAGGAGAGTAGAGGGAGGAGGAGGAGGAGGGAGGGAGGAGGAGGAGGAAAGAGGAGAGGGAGGGAGGGAGGGAGGGAGGGAGGGAGGGAGGGAGGGAGGAGGAAGGAGGAGGAGAGGAGGAGGAAGAGGAGGAGGAGGAGGAGGAGGAGGAGGGAGGAGGGAGGGAGAGGAGAGGAGAGGAGGAGGAGAGGAGGAGGAGGAGGAGGAGGAGGAGGAGGAGGAGGAGGCGGAGGAGGCTCGTGGCCTCAAGGCGCGGATCGATGGTCTTAAACAGATTGAGAGAACAGCGTTGCCTCGACTGCGCGGCCCCGCCGCATCTTTGCTGCGTGTCTCAGGCCCGCCGGGATTGCGGAGGGTTCGCCCGCCGAGGGAGCCGAGCCTGATGGACCTGTTTCCACCACCACCACCATAAGTGGGAGGGGGGAAGGAGGAGGTGGAGGAGGAGGAGGAGGAGGAGGAGGACCCCCTCCCCTCCTACTTCTGGTGGTGGTGGTGGAAAACAGGCCCACCAGAGTTCGATCCCCGAGAGGGCGATAGCAATCTCGGGGATGCGCCCTCAGAAGCCGAGGGAGTCCTGACGATCGGCATCGAGATGAGATGGTGCCGGTCATGGGGATAGGGATGTGCTCCAGGCTGGCAGAGGGTGTGATTCGGGTGAGGCGAGGCGCCGCTTCCGGGCCGAGCGGGGTCGCGCGCGCGTTCGGAAGCTAGGATCTCACCTATTCAGAAAGGGGCAACGCTGTGCTACGATATCGTGCGGTCAGCAATCCTCCTACTCGCATAACTCCTGAGGATGTTGCATCGTTGCGCAATTTGCCTCATGACACTGATGATTACTCCAGTGGCTCAGTTGCTGGAGCCTGTGCCCCGCAACCTGATGACCTCGCAGAGGGGTCCAGCAGATTCTATCGAATACGCCTATGCACTGCGAACTAACACCGCCCCCTGCTCTTCGGAGACGTCAGTGCGGCCAGCCGTCGGGCCAGAGTGTGACCAGGCTGTTGGACTCTGCTCTCTCTCCCAGCCGTGGTGGAACCCTTGGGGGAACGCCTGGTTGAGAAGAGCGGGGCAGGTGTAAGGAAGGCGGAAAACCAAACTGCAGGAGGGTCCGGTCAACATCTAGGGTCTGTCACTTGATGATTGTCGGCTTCCCAGCTGATGGGAAGGGGACTTCGCCGTGCGGCAATTGGCGATTGAGAAAGAGAAGGAGGAGGAGGAGGAGGAGGAGGAGGACGAGGAGCAGGGGGAGGAATGGGAGGAGGAGGAGGAGGAGAAGAGAGGAGGAGAGAGGCAAGAGAGCGAGAGAGAGGGCGCAAGCCTAGCCATATAAATTCCAAACGAAAACTTCTCAGCCTGAGCGGATCAATGCTGCACTCTGTGCTCGATTGCTCGTACGGCCACTGCAGACAGAAATCCAGCACAACATCAACCGAGAGGAGAAGGCGAGAGGAGAGGTGAGGCGGACAGCAACAGTCTGGACGATGCGTTGGGCGTTCCGGACTGGCGGCTAGCTGCAGATTCCTTGGCAAGCCCGGCTCGGCAGGACTGCTGTGAGCGCCGCGCGCGCGGGTCGGACAGATCCGGCCCTGGTGCATTCTTCAATTGGAGGTCAGATGCACGAGGAGGCGGAGAAGAAAGAGGAGAAGGAGGAAGGCGCTCAGTCCTCATCCTCCTCGGCAGTGGCACGGAGGTGTTGCCTCACTGCAGGGTGCGTGCCACTGGACCTTCTCATGGCAGCTTGTGTAGTGCCTGCTCGCGCAGAGCTGCGCGCGATCACAGCCGCAATGCGAGCCAGGAGTTCGCGTCTGACCGCAACTGGCTCGCGCCGCTCCCTGGGGCCTACCGTTGCCGCAATGGCCCAGACCGCCGCGCCCGCAGCCTCGGACGTGCAACCCTGCACCTCGTGCAACACGGGCCAGAAGCGGCAACCTGCTTGAATGCATTGGTGTCTTGTGTTCTGATGCGTCTGTTTGAGGTGGTCGTACTTTATCCGCCTCCGAGCCCGCGCCCGCGGCCGTCTCTGACCGATGGCTCGGCCTCAAGGCGTTGATCACAGCAAAGTTGAAGCATACCATCTCGCTCGGGATGGCTCGTGAGCCATCTGGAAGAGATTTGTACAATGCCAACGCTGGAATGCACAACACGCCTGCTGGCCTACGTCTGCTTTGCCGCCCCACGACATTCTGGAGAACCCCTGGCGCCTCGCACTCGGGGCAGAAACTCCCTGCTCGCAGCAGTCGAAGTACACGTCTCGTACCCCATTGCGCTGCGAGATGGTAGACATGCACGACAGTGCGTGCACCCCACCTCCATCCAACAGCTGGCCAAACAGCGGGCATGGGACATGTCCATCCATGACGTCGACTCAAAGAGGAAGCCTGACCACCGTCGCAAATTCACCAGGTAAGAGTTGTGCGTCGAGCGCCTGTGATGTAACCATCTCCATGTCAAGGCCGCTGCCCGGGGCCACAGACGCATTGAGATGCACAAGCTCTCCGCTGGCTGCCCCCCCTCTCTCCACCAACGAACGTTATACGTATCGACCTCATCGATGAGCTTGCTCTGCGACCTGGTGGCCGTGTCTTCCATTCAGGATCCAGTGTCGTCTGACCGATCCCTATCCCCATCCCCATCCCGATGCCCACCATCCCACCACCCCCATTGGGGATCTGTCCATCCGAACCCGCAGGGAACAACCTGTACAGTCAAAACGCTGTAATAAGGAACAGTTTGGGTTCGGAAGGGGCTCGATGTTCCTTAGGTTCCTCCAGTGTTGTTCGTCTTGCCATCCTGGGGCACGGAGGCGCTTACAGGGCCAACAAGGGGCTTCGTTCCTTATTTAGCGTTCCTTCTTTCAGCAGCCCAACTGTATCCCCATCCAGGGGGGAAAATCGGCCAGCGGGGCCAGGCCACGCCAGCGGGGATTGGGATCGGCTGCACGATGCTCAGGAGATGGCCTGGCCTCTAGGGCTGCGTCGCGAGAGCTTGCCGACCGCCGCCTGCAGGAGCGCATCGCGGTCGCCAGCGT